TTCATGGAACATTGATCGAATCAACGACGAATGGAAAACCACAATGACAACATCTGAACCCACAGAATTTGCATATCAATATGGTAAGCCCAACCCAAAAATAAGTTAAGCTTAAAAGCGCCAAAAAGTATGCCACAAGCTCAAACACAAAAAAAAGGACACACAACTGACAGATCTGCAAAAAAAGGGAAAATAACTGAGAAATTTGTATTTATACAGTTGCCAGGTTTTTGGCGTACAAAGACAAACAACAACGGGAGACGCCACAGAATAGAGAACAACAAGACAACAAGTTCCAGGAACCCAAAGAAATGCAAACAACAAACTGGCAAACTAAAAGCGCATTTCGAAAATCGAAAAGACCCCAAAGAGCCACAAATATGCAACCGCAACAAACCAGCCCAAAAGCCACGCCCCCACACATATACATACATACTCATCTACGTGCAAGAGTGTGCGTGTGTGTGTGGGAAGCGAGATAAATGCATGGAACGCGCACAATTAAATATTCAGAGCGAATATTTTTTGTCGGTTTTCGCCAGTTGGAAGTGCAGTTGAGTACCAACCACGCAACCAACTAACCGAAGATAAATAAAAACAGAAGAGGGAGCTTTAAATACTCTGATATCTTTTTGCAGATTATAATATTTAGATTAAAATATAGACAGAATTTAAAGCACCAAAAGCTGCTTAAATTTGTATAACATTCTTAAAACCATTTAAAATAGCAACCACTTTCAAAGGTATCAGCATATTCGTGTTGATCCTATCCTGGTATGAAAAGTTCCCAAAGGTAAAAAGTTTCTTCTGAAAATGATGTTTCAAACACGTAACATCGGGAAAGATATGCTCTTACCAGATGCAATGCATCAGTTTTACTAACATTTAGGACAAGTTTCGCAAAGGTATTAAGCAGTGAACAAGTTGTTCTTTCTCTGTTCATATACCAATATGTTTTATTATCATATTAATTTCTTAAATAAAGAAGGGAACGTAGAATTTTAAAAATAAAGAAAACCATAAAAGCCAAAAGTAGCTTTTATATTTTATAGAACACCTATCAAGCAAATACCTGATTCATCCAGATCTTAGTTTATTTAATTTCAATTACTTGTTTGTAGACGTTGTTTTCAATCCTGAAAACTTTGCAACACACTCGTAAACACCGGCTTGAAATGAATATCCCTTCGCGGGCTTTGTGGCCAATCGACTGGGAAAGAGCGAACGGGGACCGACAAAGCTGCTTGTGGTGAATGTGAAAAGAGTTGGAAAAGCGGAAAAGCAAGCAGGCCCAGCTGTCAAAGGTACAGGTATTCCCCTATGTGTGTCCGGGATCTGCATATAGGAAAAGGACTCAGAGCTGCTGTCAGAGGAAAAGGCTCTCCAATGTCGATGACGACAATGATGATGATGGTGATGATAATGACAGCGATGGCGTGGCGGATGCGGTTTCCGTTTCCGGTTTGCGGTCCAAGGCTGCAAAAAGCAAACCACTCTAGAGCCCACTAAGCTGTGTCCATTTGCTGTTATCAGTCGTTAACATGTACAATTTGGTTACACGCTGCCTTTTTGGGGAACATTTCTGGTATTTGTGTATCCATTTTGTGTGTTGAAGTTTTCCCATTTAAATGCGACAACTTCCCGGCCCTTGAATTGACACTGACCCACCAGTTCCGCCCGCCGCCCCTTCAGTCTACTGGGAAAAGTTACTCGGCTGCATTTCCTGCTGCAAAATGTTGCATTTCCTCTTCTCTGCTTTTCTGGACACTGGGCAAAGTTTTCGGGGGCTAAACTTATTTGGATGATTAAGTGGGCCAATTTTGGGTGTTAAGCCAATAAGCTGAATCGCCGGCGTTCCATACAAGGTCTAGTTGAAGGCCATAACAACGCTGTAAAATTGCACATGGATATGCAATTATCTTCCACACTGGTTAATGCTTTAATTGCATTTTCCTAACGCTCCTTAAACCGGCATCTCGTAGCACCTAGCCAGCTGAAGAGCGTCTCATATTTTCATTATTGTTACTGCAATGAAAAAGGGTCAAAAATATGCATGCACACATGGACATAAACAAGAATAACCAGAAGGGGTGGTGCTGTGCTGGGGGCAACGTCCAGTTTGCAGCTGCACCATGGCGTATACGTAATTTGCATTACAATGAACTCGGCAGATCCCCCTCCATAACCAAGCCCTCCTCCCTCCGTCTGTCTTTCATTGCTGCAAGGTGTATAATTTTGATAGCAATTCTACAAAGGCCACAGGACTGCGGTTGGAAATGGGGGAAAACCAGGGGGGGGCCAGGTTCTGCTAGAGATTGGAGATTGGGGCACATGGAAGGTTGAGGGGCTTGGTGAACGCTGCATTTCAATTGGAATAACAATAATTGTTTGCAGCAGCCACTGCAACAGAAACTCCCCGCCTCCCATCTCCAAAAATCCCCCTTCTCGTTTGCCTTCCGCCTTCCGTATTGTATTGCTTTGTTTTGTGGCTTGGCAATTCTTGCTCTTCTGGAGCTTTCTCCTCTTCAATTCCTCCCCCTACTTTTCTATGGAAATGGCAAGAGCGGATGTTGAGTGTCAGTGACTACCACGCCCCTTTGGATAGCGCCTCCCCAGACCGGCTATCTAACCTTTTGTTGCTGTGGAAAACCACTTGGATTCAGTCCAACACATACGAGTGCACATACAATTCTATGAACAATTAAATATAATACAAAACAAATAAATTTAAGTTGCTGTAAGAGAAACTGTATTTCATTTTATACATTATAAGCCTTATATATGAGTAGTTTGAGCTTATTAAATTCACTTTAAGGTAAAACTATTTAAAATTAGATTATTAATATTCCTTTAGGGTATCTACTAATTAAATTAACTGCAAGAATTTATTGTTTGTAGCTCATAAAACTAATACATATTAGCTAATTAATATCTTAATTAGCTCATAAAACTAATACATATTAGCTAATTAATATCTTAATTACTTAAGAAGAATACCTGTCAGGCTTTTCTACACTTTACACTTAATAATTATTCCTTAATTAGCTTCAAGCGAATTTCAGCTTTTAATAAAATGTCACTTAATAAGGCTTAAACACTTTGTTGCTGCTTATCTTAAAGTAGATCCACTCTTAACCCTTTTTATACCTCTGCCTGCAAAAATGTTTTTCCCCACTTCACGCTCTAAGTGATTTTCAATTATGAAGGGCGACATTTGAAGGAGGAGGTTCGGTGGTAGGAACTACAATAACTGCGGAAATTTCAGCAACTGGGGATAAAGTTTTACCTGCCAAGGGGGGAGGTGATGTAAAAAAATGTCTTGCATAAAAAGTTTTTAATTGCCATGTGCTCTTGGCCAAAAAAGTACGAGCAAAAGCGTGAGTTTTGTTGTAGTAATTAGTTGGGTCTGCTTGAAGCTGCAAATTAAGCCATAATTATGCACAGCCAGCGACACTTTGAAGGAGTTGACTGAGCCATCAAGGGGCTCTGTGCCGCTAGTTCCCATTCCTCGCAACTCAAACCCCAGGCATCGCAAAGTCTAACCACAACAAATGGCCAACAAGTTGTCGCTGGTCAACAGTTCATGCAACATCAACACCAAAAAAAGGATACAAAATATTTGCTTAAAACATAAAGTTGCTCCATACCAAGAATTTGAGCTGAAACATGTGAAAGTGCAACATTTTGAGTCAAATGCAACGGTGGAACAAGTGAAACACTCAGCTTTTCTCTCTAGAAAAGGACTCGCCAATGAGCATCAAGATGGAAAGTCGCCGACAATTGCAGCTGCCTTGTAGTCTTCGATTCCTGTATGCTGGTCATAGACCATTTTCCACCATTGTTATGCCAGATTCCTGATGATGGGTGATGGCGGGACTGATGGGCATCAAGGGGACTTGGGCGGACATGACTGATAAGCGTGGCAGCGACGCTGTCAAAGGTTGTGATTGATGCACACAGGTTGTAGCTGCTGTCAGGACAGTGGAAATTAAGTGCGAATACCAATCAACCACAATTGAGATGTAAATGCAAAAAATCCTTAATAATGGCTACTATATATTTATTTAATCTTTGTTTGCATAAGCTGATATATGTTTCAAGATTCTGGAGTCCTCAGAATATTACTGACAATGTAAAGATCCTAGTAAAATTACATTTTTAGCATTTGCTTTGTTAGCCTGTAGTATTTTTATACAACTTATTATTAAATTTAAATTTAAGCAAATCGAAATTGGGCTTTTTACTTTAAGGTACAGCTTAATAAACAGATGTTGATGCTTATAAATTAAAATTTTAGCCATAGAAGTATTTATTTTATTGATAGCAGACAAATTTACTATATACCATTCTAGAATTCCTTTTTGTTCCTGACTTCTCTTAGGAAGATCCACTGTACTATAATTGCTGTTGGTCTTTCACCTTTGCCACTGTCAGCGCACTAACTGTAAACGATGTTTTCTCGATGAAGCTCAACTGCAGTCACACGTGTACGCACAAATGTGCACCTCACCTCACCTAAACACACATACTGACACATCTAAAACCAGTGAGGGGAAGTGTGCCTGTGTTGGACTTCAATTCTCGGCAGGAGGTTTGTTTTCCACTGTGGCACTAATGTCTTTTTCTTGCTCTTTTTTTACCGACCACCCACTTGGCCTTTGGCACTTTGTCAATTCACAAACAAAAACGAATTGCACACAGGATTATCGAAGAACACACATACGCACAGGTGTACACAGGTCTCACTTTCTCGTTTTGCATTCGATGGCTATGGTTTTTACTTCTTGGTGAAATAGCAGGAGGCCTGACTGTTTGTCTGTATAAAAAAAAGACGAAATTGAGCACGATAAAATAATAAATCTTGTGTATGACATCGCAATAGATTTTAAAGAGTTAAATCGCAATTATCGATCATTCTAGATCTTAGAAAGTATTTAATTTTGTTCTATTTCTTGTCATCATAACATCCTTTCATAAGAGTAAAATTTAACTGTCAGACACCAAAAGTATATATTTTGTAGTTAAAATGGAAGTGGAACCTTTGGTTTCCATTGTGCTTCCAGTTAAGAAACCATGTGGCGAATTTCATCCGCCACCCAACTACCAGAAGCTGATGGTGGACAATCTGACCATCATGCGGCCACCTATCCTGAAGATCTACTACTGGGAAAGCTTTGACATAGCGGGGTAAGAAGGATAATGAGTTAAGATCATATTTGTTAATTTTATTATCTCCAGTTTAAATCGAAAACTGCGCTCGAACCGTGTGGAACACGAACACACATTCTCGATTCCCATCCGCCAGATCCACAGTCAACCACTGAAAATGGTCTTCTGGCTGCGTAACTTATCGTCCAAGGACACCACGCTAACCTTGAAAGCGGATCCAGAACTGCCAATGCCAGCCGCTAAAGACACAAGTCGGATTCAACCAGTTCCGCCAGCTTTTCCACTGCCCACACCGCAGACTGATTCAAGTTAACCAAGAGGTCCTGGCCATCAAACCAGACGAGGTAGTGGCCCTGACTGTCACGGCCTATTTTTTCCTTTACGGCAACCACTTGCTTACCTATGAAGTAAAGTAAGTTTTTGGAAAATAACCTAAGACTTAAGTCTGTTAAACATGCTTTCTTACTATTTTTCAGCACCGAAGACAAACGCAAATTCCTTTGGACTTTTCATCTGGAAATCTCCTCCTTCGACCTCGAAAAGTGTCTTCTCACGAAGGAGCTGCTGCCAGTGAACATAAAAAATTATTACCACATAACACAGCCGATATGGGTGCAAAATATCACAATGTCGCACTTGTCTTTCTCGTTCGCTTCCAGGGATCGGGGTCTCAAGCTGCTCAACATGAATCTAACAGTTCCGCGACAGAGTGTTTGGCCCCTTCTGGTGGACTATCGACCACTGGACTACGAAAATGAGGTAAATTAATTTATAATCATTTTTATTATAACCAATATATTATACAAAAAGAGGTATTGATTTTCGGCATATATTCCAGGCAGAAGTTGTCATGACCTACGAAAATACCAAGGCTCGCTATAAGGTCAAGGCTAAAGGTGTGCTAGCAGACGAAAAGGAACAGACGGACATGCCCTTGAAGGACCGCGAATGTGCTGACTTTCTGAACGTGATTTATCCCAACAGATTGAGTTTCGAGGTCTGCCTTCGGGAAGATCGGACGCAGCTCGTCAATGTCCACAACTACGGACAGAAGTGCATGGAGTTTCGCTGGCAGAGGTAAGCTAACAGTAAAGTATGAGTATAATTCTTTCATTTTCGCGTTACAGCTACATAATCAACGAATTCTTTTCGGTGGTGTTCAACCCACCCATTTTCCGCCTGAAAGGACACCACTCGAAGCTGTGCGAGATCAAGGTGACAGTGTTCGACCGACTGGTGAACTTCCGGCGCATACCTATTGTGTTGGAGGTGCACCGCATCCTCGACCGTGCCACCCTTATCGCTAAGCAGGAACTGGAGGAGATCGAGTCTATCGATGACCCGAAATGGAAGGAGGATAGCTACTTGGAGCACGTTTATCTTCACCTTAACATCCGCACTACCATCAAGCCGGCCTTGGACACTGCCGAAGAGTTGGAACCCGGTGATAAAATTGATCCCACGGCTGGACCTGAACCCTGTGCGCAATATGGTCCCGGAGAAGGCAGCAGAATAGGATCAGGAGACGGGCCCTCGCAACCTCCTCCGCTAACCGAAGAGCAGCGGAAGGAGGCTGAGAGGAGGGAACTGATTAACCGACTGGTGGCCAAGAACAAGCTCAACTCCAATGAGGTCATCGAGCTCAGCATGGCTATTGACCAGCGGATCACAATTTTCGAGAAGCTCTTCTGGAAGTATCTCAGCAAGTCGAAGTTCATGCGCATCACCTCGGATCGCAAGCGTTCCAAAGTGGCAAAGACCTACGAGGAAGTGGTAGCGCCAAGTGAGCCTGAGCCTCCGGAGAAACCCATGGAAATTGATCGAAAGTCAGAAATAACTAAAAACATTTTTTGACTAATGTATTTATATATTTCCCTTTCCTCAGCCACATTATGGACATATTATCTCGCCTTATGCAGGAGGCCATCAACGATTTGGCCAAGAACTGGGTCTTTATTCCGTCTCAGTATTACGAACGCAACCATTAACTGTTCCCACCGTTAACTAAATGCATTGTACCACATATCCGTATACTTGGTCTTTCCTGGTTGGGCGATGCGTTGCATTTCATTTTCGAATTGCGTCTGCACCGCGAAATTTATGTAAGATTTCGCACGAGTTGAGAGCCAACGCCTTTGCTTTCCGTTACGAGCATTTTGGCCAATTTATGTGTCTGCATGCAGCCTTTTAGGGTTTTCCACGCAGACAGGGGGCGTGGCAGGGGCAGTAATGGTCAGCCAATTCAACACGAGTATTTATGTCCCCCCCGCTTCTTTTTAGTTTGTTTGGGAAGTTTTCCAAATGGTCAGTGGTTCTTTACGCATTAAGATAGTATTTGCATGGGTTTTCTTGGGTTTCTTAATATGGTAATAAACTATAATTAAGTATAGTTAAGAACGAAAGATGAGATTGAAAACTGTCTAAATAAATATTTCGCTATTGGCAATATATGATAGATATGCAACTAACATTTGATTTTGTATTTTCCTTCTCCACAAGGCTTTTAAATTTAACGTAAGATCTGACCTGTTTTTAATGCGACACCTACAAAGTCTTTTGACTTGTAGATATTTATCCGCGCCTCAACCCATTGTTAGCAGTGTGTTATTGCTGACAGTTTTAGAATCAAAGTGGTCTACGTCCAAGGCGTCAATCTTAATTAAAATTATTTCCGACCAGGAAAAGGTATTTTCTTTTTATAACGAAAATAAAATAAATAAATGCTATATTTATAAGTTTAAATAGTGTATTACAGAATTTATTTAAAGCCATATGATATTTCAGTCCATATCGGCGCGGTCTTTCGATGTTATATTAACACTGTTAGAGTAGCAGCAACAGACCGATAAATCGGCTATCGATATTTTCAGATCATATCGATTTAATAAAGTTTCACTTTCTACCGCAACGGCGCTTTAGAAGCGTGTGGATTTAATCATCGAAATCGTCGGTCACACTACCTCAAACCGCGTCACTTTACGATTTAAAATTTGTTAATTTCAACGTAAATTTAGCATACAAACCGAACCCAATTGTGATAAAAACAAGGAAATGCAAGCAAAACAAGCAAATACAGTGTTATTCCATTAAACAGCATTTGCGGGCAGTTGGAAAGTCAAGAACCGAAGAAGTCACATTTAGCCGGTTCTAAAAGGGACGCCGCGCAATTTCAGCAACGCGAATCTACCATTCCTTAGTAATTTCGGGAAATACGAAGCACAGGCACGATGAGCAAGGACATTTACTACTCGGACAAGTATTACGATGAGCAGTTCGAGTACAGACATGTGGTTTTGCCAAAGGAGCTGGTCAAAATGGTACCGAAGACCCATCTGATGACAGAGGCCGAGTGGCGATCGATTGGGGTTCAGCAGTCGCGCGGTTGGATCCACTACATGATCCACAAACCGGAGCCTCATATTCTACTCTTTCGGCGCCCCAAAACGGACTAGCCGGTCACAACAACAACTGCAACAGATACACATACTTCTACACCATGTAGCTTATAGCACATACCTATATATCCGGCAGCTGCTGCCGATATTTTGTATTGACGGTGGTGGTGGTTGCTGCGGAACAACCAACTGTTGCACAAACATCAACAACTACATCATCATCATCATAATAAGTACTCACGCACGAACCCTAAACCCCCTAGAACCTTCTTTTTTCACTGTGTTCTTCTTAATTCTTATAAACAATGTTTGCCCTTACTATCAACTATCCTTACCTTCTTACTATAAATATAGCACCTAGAGCTACACTAAGTTTTGCCATCTTAATACACCTTAGTCCTGGGAGATAATACTGAGGTGGAATTCCTAAATCATTCCTCGACCTCCCACAAGTTTTACCATATTTTATGTTGCCATTTCGAAACGGAAGCGAAAATGAGGATTTTGCTCACTTTTTATAAGCTTAAATGAAATCTGATTTGTGATCTTGAAATTCTTAATCAATAATACATATGTTTACACATAATATAATAAACTTAAAATAAATACGTTTAATGTATGGAGAGGCTTGAAGCGTTGATTGCTTGAAGTTTTCCCAAATCGATCAAATATATATGTTTCACTTAATAAGTTATGGGTACAGATGGGCATACTATAGCAATTGATACGGATATTTTATAATCCTTCTCAGCATTTCAAAGATATTATTGAACGAGTCAACGAGTAAGTTTTTATGAATTTACATATTAATCATCAATAAAGTGAAATTTATTTTATTTCTACAGAGACGATGGTTCCTGTTAGTATCCTAGAGGTATTGGGAAAGCCATGGGCTTTCCTCATCAGAGTATATTAAAACATAAATTACAGGTATGTGATAGTTTTTAGAAAGTGTAACAAATAGTAAGACTGCACAAACTAATCAAATTTTTTTTTTTTTTTTTCATATTTTGTATTTATTATCAACCCGACTTCTGTGTAATCTATTCGATTTTATAATTTAATATTGAAATGGCTAAACTGAATCTGTCACTCTCGTTTCTTAGGCCCCCTACCAAAGGCTCATCCTCATTACGAGGTACTTTCAGAATTAACTGAGGTCCACCAACAGCGACTAGTATCTAATTATTTAGTTATTTATAAACAACAACATAGCAACACGATTGGTGTGCAATTTCCAACCTCAACATTCTGTGCTGGTGTGTGATTTTTGAAATTTCCAGTGTCAAAAATGAAGATCGACAGTTCCGGTCCGAATATATGTGTTGTGCCAATGGCGCAGCACCTCACCTCTCCACATGAGAAAGCGGTGACCCATCCGAAGGGGCTGATCAAGTGGGCTGGGGAGGTCGCATCGCATCCCCGACAACCATATTTAGGGACTATGGCAATCGCTGTCAACAGTGGCTCGCCACTTAGCAGCATACCATCCTCCGGCCTGCTCTTCCGCAGTTAGAGCATGCCACACTCATTTCCCACCAGCATGGAACTGGAACTGGCCCCCAAGGCAAATCGAATTGAAGCAGATCAAAGGCAGCTGCAGCTGTGATGATGCTGCTGCTGATTTTTATTGCTTTATTTCTGTTGCTGATATTTATTGTGCTACGAATATGAAACCGGAAACGCTCTACTAACATTCTTTCGGTTAGCTTAGGACTCAATCCCACTTTCTTGTAGTTTCCCTTAGAGTCCATTGCCTTTGTATTACTTTGTGCACACTCAATCAGGTTCAAGTAGTTTATGGTTATAGCCATTGTTTGTACTTTTTTAGGGTGGTTTGTCACGATCTTTAAGCATTATGAGGTGTAATCATTGCTGGAATTGGGTAATGCACAAACTTGACCCACTTAAAGGGCAAGCTTGTTATGACATAATAATAAACCAGATCTAAATAGAATCTTCTTTTCTTTTATCTAGCACAGAGGAAGACCTTGAAGCGGCCAGAAAGTGCCCTGATTGCCATTAGCCACAATGCCAGGATGATCAGTGCAGTCCCAGCACAATATGGCAAATAATGGGAAGGAAGTAATCGAAAGTGGATGCTGAAGATTCTGAACTACTATAATGAGTTCCTTTCACTGCACTTCTAGCAGTAAAGGAAAGCGAAACAAGGCGCGACAAATTACGCGGCCAACGCTGCGTATGCGTTACGTGAAATGCGTCGAGGGTAAAGCAGCGCAGTCGACAGAAGCAGCAGCTTTTGATGAATGAAAGTCAACCCTCTTGTACACACACCCGCAATACTGATGCCGACGTCGACGTCGCTGCCACCGAGCAATTTGAGCGGTAGCTGGCTATATTTCGAATTTGATTTCGATTTAGTTTCTAGTACTGTTTTACAAACCGACGAGTCAGGTTCTACTGCCGCTGCTAGCAGAGCCGACCAGACCAGATCCGAATCGGAATCGGTGTGTGGGATCACTGCCTCTAATCAGTAGTCAGTTTCTATATCGCCGTGTGCTCGGGACAACGCGCTTCTCCGATCCTCCCCAATCGATTCGGGCGCGTGCTCGAAGGGTTTTTAAAATACGTCGGGAGTTTTACCCAGGCTGCGGCACATGTGAATGCTTTTGATTGTAAGTGTTCGGACGAATGCTAGCAGATGAAAACTATAAAACTATATATCAGCAATTTTGAAAGAAAACTTATCATAACAGACAAATATGACTATATAATAATGCATTCGGTGCAATCCTTGAAAGGATTTATGTCATTATTTTCAATATTTATTATTTGTTTCAAAGTGAGCTGATTTATGTCGAGTAATTTCAATATTTATTATTTGTTTCAAAGTGAGTGATTCTTGGCGATTATTAAGTGGTTGCAGTACTCTTTAAAATATGTGTCAAAAAATATTTGAAATGAATAATTTTAAAATTTTGCAAATACACTTTTTCTTCCACTTTTTACTTTTTAAAGAAAGAACTTTAATTGAGATTTTAATAATACTACATAGGATATATAGTAGTCGGCTTACCCATTTTATATGTATTAACTTTTCATCTCATCGATTTACTCTCCTTGAGAGCCAAGAGAGAAGCGTGAATAATTTCCGATTTGTAGTCCTGATAACACTGAACAACCGCCCCAATAACCTTGGTAAAACGCCCACCCATTTTGCACAGACAGAGGCGTGTCAGTCTGTTACAACAGTTTATATATTTTTTTGCTTTCTTTTTAATACTTTTTATTTTTAGCGCACAATGCGCGATGCACCAAAATAGTTTTATCTTCTCTCTCTCTTGCCATAATAATAAGAAAATTGGGAAAAACTGTGACTTGTAAACATATGATTTTTAAAAGATTCATTAATATTTGGAAAATTTAGAGATCTTCCCTCGGATGTGGCTAAAAATTTCACACATAAATAAAAATCGCTTATAAAACTTGCGCGTGAAAAAATATTCTATAAACCTTAAAAAGTAAGGTTGAGAATGAATCAGTATAATCTTTATAAATTTAATATATGATAATCTGGAATATCACCCGCGTGCTAGCTGTGCTTTTTACTCTTCGTTTTGCGGAACTATAGTGATCTTGATAAGGTTAAACTTAATGGAATTTTCGAGCTGCCGTATTGAGATAGTCAGACATACAGTCTATAGATTATGGCGACAAGGGCCGTCGGATGAGTCGAGTCATGCCAATATATATATGTATACTTTTCAATATATATGGCACATATTCCTAATCATCTTAACGCAAATTACAGTTTTTGGTATATATATATTTTTTAAGTTGTAAAAAGGAAGAACTTTCCATTATCTATATTTTCTTATCCAACAAAAAAATTCGTAAGAATAAATTAATTTAATTTTCCATGGAAATGCAAAAAAAAATCCACATAGACAAGCGTTGCCTTAACATCAATATTATAAATGGTGATAATAGCTTTTATAACATATTAATGATTTTAAGTTAGGTTTAGATCACTTTAAACTGGTTTTCCTGAGGCACTTTATTAATAAATTTCCTCACATCAAAGACAAGTGGGTGGGTCAACCTTTTGCCCCTCACAAACCCCTCCCTGAGTGATCCAACCCCCGCGAAATGCAAATCAATTTGCATTGACAATGAATTTGCTTCCCCTCAAACATGGGCTCTGAATTCAGTTTGCATTGCATTAATTAGCTGAGCAGTAAAAGTACTCCTATGTTATATAAGTCATAGTCTAGAGCGTTAATTAGTATGCATTTCTGGAAATATTTATATTTGTATTTGACTATGAACAATAATAAACTTGTATGGCATTTGTGATCATGTAAACTGTCTGCCAATCAAATATGGTCAGCCAATGATGATCCCCATAAATACCAAGAAAATATACATACGAGTATTTTAGGAATGAAAAACAAAATGATTTATTCGAGTCTCTATGGAAAATAGTTATAGTTTACTATCAATTAGAGCTTCTTGCTCTAGAACCTCGCTAATGAAGACGAGTTCAAGTTCACCCACGATCACGCTGTGAATAATGGTAAAGTGCGTTTCCAATTTCCAGTTAATTACAATCATTGGCCCATCGACGGTCTAACTTCCGTTTAGTGTGAAACCCATCCTTTTGCTAATGAACTTGACTGATCAATGAAACTTCCGCTGCAATTGAAATTCAATGCAACTGCGACACCATTTTAACAAATTACACATGTAAATACATGAAACGCAATTTCTGCCTATGGCTATATGTAAACACACTCATTCACGGTCAAGTTCAAAATAGAAAAAAATATGAATAAATAACTGTATAGAATGCACACATGTATACAAAGACAATTCAATTAAATTCAAAAGCGGCTTAGTAAATAAATTAAGTTGGGCACGAGTGCTACTGCATTACAAGTGCATACCACTCAGGTTCCGTTTTATTTATTAAATTGAATTTTTATCTGTACATCCACCTTCTCACCCGATTCAATTAAAAGTGCAAACCTATTGAGATAAACACCTTTTAGTCTGGAATGTTTTGTCACAGCTGACTGCACCCATTGACCACTGCTGTTTAGACCTCCCAAAGGTATCCATATCAATGAAAATTCCACCCAACTCTGTCACCTGTCCCTTCCCTTTCCCCCCTTTGATATCACTCAACAAACGACCTGGGCACATGCCAATCATCCACTCAGAATCGGTTTCACTTGCTGGTCTCGTCTGTGCTGTTCTGTAGTTACATCAATTAGGCGAACCGCAGATACAAATACAGATACAATCCGAGCAGAGAACATGAGACACATAATGGCATTATCATCGCGTCGGTCTTCCAAAGGGTGTGGAGCAGCCAGACAATTGTGATCAGTGATCTCATTGCTGGGGGTGAAATGCTAAAAGAGCTAAAACTTAGTCGATAAGAAAGGTACCCTATAAATCTATAAATTATAGAAAGTCTTTAAAGTGATGTAAAAAATATAGAATATTAACGATTGAAAGAACCTAATCAGGAAAAATCTTCTCTGGTGTACTCTAGTTCTTATATCAAAAGAGTTAAGATCAGATGTTAATATAATTTAATTTCAGCTAAAACTATCATGTTTATGGTCATGTTAAGCATGAACATGAGGCGTGATTTTTACAACTTCATCACCTAAAAGTTAAACCTCAGAATAGGCATACTT